CCGCTAGAATGTATGAGCATTGGATTGACGAGGATACTAAGTTGTTGATGACGCGCCATCATGAGACGGCTTTAGTGTGCTTGCCAGCGGGAGGAGCTTGGCTGTCTACCGTAGTAGGGAAGGAGGTGAGTTGGAAGAAGTGTTACCTTTTCTTGGCTCATAATTCCTTGCTGGGGACGGGGCATGGAGGTGCTCGACAAACCTATAGTCATCTGCTGGGTAGAGGGGTGTTTTGGACAACCATGTGGAGGGATGTGCAAGTGCATTGTAAAAATTGCATTGCTTGCTTGCACGATCGCCCACGCGGCCAAGGCAACGCAGGCCCCGTTGGGGTATGAGAAGTATCTAGGGTTTTTCAGAGTGCTGCACGTTGACCATGTGGGTCCATTCAAATTGGATAAAGGTTTTAATTACTTATTGTCGGTTCGTGACTCGGCGACGTTGTTTTCCTGGTTCATTCCGGTGAAAGCGAAGTCTTGCAAAGAGGCCGCAGAGGCTTTGGCTGCTAACGCATTTTGTATGGTCGGCTACCCGATTGTGATACGATCCGATCGAGGATTCGGTGAGTCCGGGGATGAAAGCCTGGGGAAATATTTGCAGACATATGGGGTGCATCATGCGCCAACTATGCCGTATTCGCCGCAGGCGAATTGGCTGGTTGAAGTGCTCCATAAGCCGCTGCGGAAGATTTTGATCAAATTTGCGGAGAACGCCAAATGGGTAGAGTTGGTTCCCTACCTAAATTGGATTGCTCGGACAACACCGCTCGAGGTGTTAGGTGATCGCTCGCCGTATGAGCTAGTGTTTGGCTGTAAGCCGCGGCACGCTTTTGCGGAGACTCTGAGAACGGCGCTCGGAGGAACACCGGGAGTGGATTCTTATTTGGAAGCGGCGAATAAGTTTCGGGAGGAAATTTTGTCACAATCAAACCTGACTGGGAATGAAAATTCGAAGCTTCGTCAAATCGCACAAACAAAGCTGAGAGGGCATTCACTGGAAGCGCCTCTGATTACTGGTGATCTGGTGGTAGTGAGAAACATGCACGCGCGAAAAGATAGCTTTGACCCGAAGAATTTTCCAGCATTGTTTAAGGTGGAGTCGGTAGGACCGCGCCGCGCGATATTGCTGGATCTATTGGGTGAAGCAGCGACGGGAGCGGCCAGTGGGAAGGTTCCGCTGAAGCTGCTGACCCGTGCTGTACCCGCATCAAGTGCAGAAGATTTCTTGCGGAATCTAGACTATCTCCCTTCGACGGATGAAATGTTAGGAAGAACAAAGGAGGTGCTCACGCGGAAGGTGGAGGAACAGACTGAGTAGGATGAGCTCCTGATGTGGTTGTAGAGCCAGTCCCTGAGGAAATCTGGGAGGTTTGATGAAAACTCTAATATTGCGTAAAATGACAAAATGGTCCTACTTCCTACTTTAGGAGACTGCTGCAGCCACTGGCGGGAGAAGGGGGAAGCGGATGGCTCCATGAAGGGTCTGAGATAAGTTGGGAGTCTGCAAAGAATGTTCTGCGTTTTGAAGTAGGGCATAAGTAGCATAGAGATAACCGGACTGGTGTTGTGAAACATCGCTCTTATGCGGTGGAGTCCGAACGGGTTCGATGAATGAAGAGAGGCCGACTTCCAGCACTTTGCTGCTAGCCCGGTGCTGAGGCCTACCCTAGCACAGTGTTGGAGGGATCTCTGGATCCGTGGGAAGGGACTTCGAGTCAGGAAGTGGATTGATCACCTGCTTTCCTGGGGCAAGTTCTGGCTAGTTTAGGGCTCGTCTGTCTTGAAGCAGCAGAGGGGGCGTCGACCTGGGGGCGTCTGTCTGTATAAGTAACCGCTTCGGACTCTGTGAAAAGGACGAATACTCGAGAGATGTTTCTGCTTTGTGAAAGAAGCAAAGCGAGTAGATGTTCAGACTCCTTGGCTTAGTTCAAGTAGGCCTGGATAAGAATTAAGTAGTAGCAAGGACTGCTGGGTAGTGATACCTCCGAGGGAGGGAAGCGCCGTGAACAGTAGGAAATGAACAACGTGAAACACTAGATCAGTCGTTCTGTGGTTTAGGCGAGCAATCTAGGGGAAGCTATTCAAGAAGGAAAGGCTCATGGAAGGTTTGGCCAAGTGAGCTGCTTGCGATAGATTTGATCGGGTCCCGAATCTCGAGGGGAAGCCCTGGAGTAGTAAGGATAGGATGATCTAGGCCAGGTGACTAAAAGGCTGCGAGACCTTTGTAAACCCTTTGGTGGTTTTAAGACATGAAAGAAGAATAGAACTGTTGGTATCTGCGAGGATACCAGGCGAACTTCCTGGAGACGGGAAGGGGCTAGGATTCACTCGGTATTTGGGCACCTTCGCTGTAATGGTGATAGGAATATAAGTACCACCGGGCGGAGCTCTTAAAAGGATGGCTCCGACGCCTCACTGCGTAGGGGGGGCAGTGTAGGACCTGGCCCGGGTGTAAACAAGGCGGCCCTTCGTGAAGAAGTGCGCCAATAACTCCAAGGAACAAGCGCTGAGTGACTAAATACCCTAGGCGGCTGCTGCCGAGATCGACCTGGTAGGGCGGCTGCCATTATTAGGACTAGAGGACTTGGAGGATCAGCAAGAGACTCCGACTGCAAGGCGGCGCTGTGCACAACGCTTAGGTGTTGCCTCAGCTACCAAGCTGTAGCGTGGGCCTCATAGGGGGGCTGATTGCGGACCAGTCTCGTTCCCCATTTTGTAATTAGGAAAGACGCTTGAAGGTGAAAACCAGCAAGCGTTGCATCTAAACCTAACAAACGCATACTTATCCTTTAGCTTTCCCTTAAGATTTTGGCTATACTGTATAGAACCAAGCAAGAGCCACGCATAGCGGCCATGGTCTAGCGTCTATCTGCCACGCTAGCCCTAGAGCTTCTAGCCTCTACATATCTAAGAAATAACGCGCACTACCGTGGGCTTACAGAAGCGCGCACAACAGTCGGGCGACGAACTTGCGTGACGCGCTAAAGCGTAGCGAGAGGGCTACCAAAACCAAAAACCCAAAATGGAGCGAAAGGCCGTGGCCTTGCTTGTAGCCGAAACCTTTGGGGAGGGTCGCGCTGGAAAGTCGAAGACGAAGATGGTTGTGAGGCAGGAAGATTCTTGGATATGTTTGGACGGTGATGCAGCGCGGTTTCGTGAGCGCAGTAACTTTGTCCAGCTTCATTCTCTGCGTACAAGTTCCGGGCTTTCTAATCTGAAAGCCGCAAGACCATAGCTGAGAGCTATCGGCCTTATGGTCATTCAAATTCAAAAAGACAGGGCGCGCGCCTCTAATAGTCAGGCACTTCCCCGCCGCCATTCGGACCTTTGGCGAAAAGTGGACATCGTACCTGTGAAATCTGGACGGCGAGAACCTGATAAGCCCTGAAAGTCCTGGCTTTTTTCGGTTTGGGAATTGTATCCAAAGTGGGTCTGTCTTTTCATGGATGAATATACAGCACGGGGCTACTTATGGCAGGAAATATGTGCAGCGAACTTGTTGCAGCCCTTATGTAAGCTTAACACTCCTAGGCGTGGCATAGGTGCGGAGAAGATAGAAGCTTCTGCGCACTTTGAAAGAAGCCACGGTAAAGAAATTAACTCGGCAGAAATAGCAGGCGCCGGGGCTGGCTTCTGTAGTTTCCCACGCATCGACCTAACCCCAACCAGACTAGTCGGGCTGATAAGAAGAAAACGCATAGCAGAGAAGTTTATAGCACGCGTGGCGCATGAAGTGCATGGAGCACCTGCAGCTTGCCCACGCACGGAGTGCATCGCAAGCGTGTAACGGACGGGTACGCGTGGCGCATGCCTTGCCGGAGTTGGGTCTGATAGGCTAGACGCCCGGGGGGGCGGTTGGTGATGTGTCGGGGGTGACGTTACCGGCGGCGCTGCAGCTGGTTTGCGGGGGGCCTTGAGCTAAGGGAACCGGCTAGCGAGTGAGTGGGAGGGGAGTTGTAGCCGTCGGGGGTTTGTAGCGTACTAGGCCGGTGGCTGTAGCCTAAACCATGGGTGCAGCACGCGGTGCTGAGGTTGATGCCTTGGCCGCCTTAAGGGCCCCCGCCCGCGAGTGAGTGGCCTGGGGGTCTTCGCTGTCAGGGTTGGCTGATATGCCAGACGCACGGGGAGCACTTTCGTGGACGTCATATGCCGACGCCCAGGGGTCGCTGGCGGCGCTGCAGCTGCTTGGGAGGCTTGAGGGCGCCGGGCTTGGGCCGCGAGTGAGCGGGCTGGCCCGGGGGCTCTGCAGAGCAGTCGGAGCTCGGGTTGGCAGGTTAGGCACCTGAGGCGCCTCCTCGGAGTACTGTACTAGGCTGGGGGCGTGCACACTCTGACAGAGAGGCGCCCGAAGGGCGCAGCGCAAAATTTTCACGCATGGGGTGCACGGGGTAACTGCTCCATGCTACTCCATGCGTTCAAAGCCATGCCCCCGGCGAAGCCTTATAAGCTGTTCTGCTATAGTAGTGAATAGCTGCTAGAGTTTTTCTCTCGTCTCGCTTAGTCTGTGCACTTTCGTCGAACCTCTACTCAGCAACCACACAGGCCCACAAAGTTGCCAAAGGGTTAGGCGAGGGCTGTTAGATGAATTGCGAGTAGCGTTGGACTGAGAGTGGGCCTGCCCTCACTGGGCTGGTGAGTAGGAGCGTTTCTCGAAAACTTTCGGCCCCAGGTTCGATCCTAACAGGTGTAGCCATTGGCCCCTCTGTTCAGGGGAGTACGTAGTGAGCCGGATTGGGTAGGAAGCTCTATCTTCGACAGTCTTCATTTTTACAGGAAATCGCGAGCAAGTTAGTAAGTAACTATATAGTAGCGACTGATGTAGTCACCCTACAGCAGCCGCAGGCTATCAGGGTCGCCCTTTTCTCTGTTATTCTTTCTCTTCAACAGTGGACTATATTCAACTAGTAGTGTTACGTACAGCCCAAGATAGAAAAACGACAGGTGACGGGGAGCGCTTTTGTTTGCTCTGCCTCTGTCTTTTCTTCATTTTCAGCGGACGCTCTTGCACTTGCCGGAAAGACGCGCAACATGGACAAGCAGGCGTGCAAGCCCCATTGGGTCAGTTACAGTTACGCTTACGGGCAGCTTTTATCCATCTTGCCGGGCATCTTGGTGCCCTTTTCCCTTGTATTCTCTTGAAGTGTCAAAAGGTAAAAGACGCCAAAAAGATGAGGGGGCCGAGCTAAATCTTCGCAAGCGCGGGTGAAGTCAGTGACGCCGGAGGGCTTTGCTACGACCACCTAGCCCGTCTCTTACTTGACAGCGAAGCAGGTGCTTGGCTTCAAGGACTGGCCGCGGCTCCGTCCGCCTTAAGGGAGCAAAGGTTGACGACGTTACCTAGCGCTAACTAGTAGGGTTCTAAGCGTGGTGGCAGACAAAGTAGTAGACTGAACTAGAACACGCCGCAAGGGCAGCGCAGCTGCGCGCTTGAGCTGGTTTGGGCGAGAATGTTGTGTGGGAGGGAACAGCTTCGGCTTCGGTCTTTTCGCTTCGCTTGGGAGCCGCGCATCCTACACGCGGCGCTACTGTTCAGTGGTAGTAGTTCACTTCAAACCCAATCGCTTCACTTCGTGCTCGCTTCTCTTCAAATGCTTCGCATTCAGTAGCTGCATTCACTTCACCCCTTCGACGCTCCAACCCTTTTCGCCTTCCCTCCCCTCCCTGGCCCGCTTAGGTATGGGCACCACTCTCGGTCGCCCGCGTTCTCGTTTGGTCTCCTTGCCTCGTTTTGCGGAGCCGTTGCTCCGACTTCGCCTTGTCGGTCGCCTTCTGACCGGGCGCGAACGTCCACTCAATCGGCCTCGATTTCGTTCCCTCTTTTGTCCTCCCTTCGCACTTAGCTCATAGGACCCTTGTGCAGCGGCCTTTCTCGTGCTGCAAGTTCCAACTGTTTCCAGCTTTGCACTCGGGTTTTGTGGGCTAGTCTGGAGTGCTGGCCAGCAGGCAAGACCATCACTCTCGCACGCTGTTCCATTCGTCAGCCTTCTCGGTCAAACTAGTAGACTAGCGCTGCTTACTCGGTAGACTGGAGTACGTAAGCAAGTAGCTGACGAAAATCTGCAAGATACTGAGGGAGAGTCATTAGCCTTGTGAAGTTGTCCCCCTTATTTCACTCTTGTTCTTCGTATAACTAGAAGTAGAAGTGCCAAGTCTAATGATGGTAGTAAGTGCCTTGGAAGTGGTTTGGCTATGCCATCCTTGGGATTAGGCTAATTAGCGTCGGCACCAACATGGCGAATAAGTAATCCGTGCCAGGTGCTGACGTAAATGCTCTATCTACATACGCTCCAGGGCTCAGGGCTAGAGCCCCCCCCTGATCTAGGGTGGCGGCGGGAAGGCGCTAGCCTCGGGCCCTTTTCCTGGAGGACTGCCGGGCGAGAAGGACTCCAAGCGCCCGCCTCCGCTCCTTCTTGGCGTCTTGCGTGTACCTGACAAAGCCCAATCCCTTGAGGCTGTCCAAGCACCGACGGCCAGGGGTGGAGGTCCTTGGAAGGCGGCAAAGGTGGCAAGGATTGGCCCCCTTACAGCATTGCGTGTACCCTACAGGCCTGCAGCGTGCTGGCCCTTCACGGGGGGAGCCTCCTGGGGGCTGGGAGGTCTCGGAGGGCAGCAGGTGGCCACGCTTGGCCCCCTTCGCTGTGCTGCGAGCGTGTATCTCTCTAACAGAACACAGCTGGGCACGCCTCGCCCTCGCCCCTCTTCGCCGTTGGTCTATCTTGCAACCTCCTTGGGCGTCAGTTTGGTGGCGGCTCGCGCTGCCACGAATTCGGGGGATGAGAGAGGGCAGCCCAGCAAAGGGGGCCAGGCCTCGCGACTGTGGCTGCCTTCGGCGGCTTTCTACGCCTGGAGGCTTTCTCTTTGATAGGGTCCAAGAGGTGGGACGCCTCTAGGGTACATGCGGAGAGCCGCAAGGGGACTCGGGTGCCGCCTTTTGGCGCCTTCCTTTGCCTCTGGAAATCCTCACACCACCGCGGAAAACAGGGCGCGCCAGCGCCACCGCAGCTCCATCCACAGGGTGGGGCGAAGGCTGAGGGCGTGGGCCGTGCAACATTGTGGGGAGCTTGGTTCCATTTCGTTTCTGGATAGGGGCAACCGCTGAAACAAGTGCAGGCTGGTCATTTTTAAAATATCGACATCACTAGAATCCATAGTGAGCACACGCCCCGGCCACTTTTTGCGGTTTTGTTTGTTGCTTTTGGGTTGGCTCCATCTAACTTCAGCGTCGCTGCTGCAAAGAGACGTGATCTTCTTTGCTGTGGTTGGGGTTGTCCTAGTGGTTTTTGCGCTTGTGATTGCGTTCGAAGCATTGTTCCGGAAGCTGCGGGGTACGAAAGTGCAAGAATTCAGCTCAATACCAGGTGAAGCACCCGCACGCGGCGATTACGAGCGAGGTTTGTACAGTGAGGAGCTGACGCCATAGGTGAGGCTAAAAAGTAAGAGCCAACTAGACCAAAGCACGCCGACGCACATTCAAGGCGCGCTCCCCAACGGGGCGAGCGAAGTACTTAGGCAGGAAGCATTCATGTTCTACTACACATTGTTAGGAGGATAGATAGTCGGCTCATTACTCATTATGCGTTTTTATCTCAATTTCAAAAAAATGCCAGTCAGTGGCAGAATGTGCATTACTGGGTCTTTCCTCCTCCGATGAATAAACGCGCTAGATACCAACTGCTTCGCTGGGTTGTGTGGTGTTATTTCAAACGCATTAGAACGCCTGCAGCTGAAAAAACTGAAGCCACTCGGTTTTTATTGTCTTGTATAAATATGCTTTCAGTGCGTTGCTAGTGGGTGCAGTCCGCCTTTCTTGCTCACTGACTTGGTCGCTCAACTTCTACATCGCTCCAAGGTTTTGACTTTTCTGTGGGTCAACTCTCAACAGATCAACAACACGGAACGGGTAGAAGGGGTGAACACTCGAAGGAGTTATAAGGAATGGGCAGAAAGCCTGAGACCCTTGGGGAGAGAAGGAAGAAGTAACGTGACTGAATTTATTGGCAGATACATAACTGAGAAGGGGGGAATAGGGTTTAGATCTCGATCTCCATAAAAGTGGTCGGCTTTTGTAAGTGGCAACTTACTGGATCCCATCAACAAAATACACGCCAGGCGTCTAAAATGATGCACAGGCCTGGATATAGAAACTAAATAGAGCACACAAGCGGCACAGGACTAGGCTACCTCTGTCTCGCCAGTAGTACTCCAGTGATTCTGCGACACTTAGACGCGCACGCCTTCGCAAAAGCTCGGCGTAAGAGTGTGGGCGCACCTGTGCCAAAAATAAGGGAAGCAACTCAGGCGGACGCGCACCCGGCCAGAGTCTGTCTGGGTTAAAATCTGGCTAAAGATAAAAAGTCGGCTCTTTGGGGTTGCGGGGCGCTTGCCTTGAACCGTTGCGCCCCTGCTCCGCTTCGGGTAGCTTTTCTGCCTTTCTCGTGTCTTGTCGCTGATGCATTTGCGAGCGATGGACCCAGCCACGGCCGCTGTGTGTGGCTTTGTTCTTAAACTGTGCAGAGGGTGCTGGGTATTGAGTTCTGCGGCAGCGGATCAACAAAGACGACGGAAAAGGCCCCCAGGCTTATTCGGTTGCTTTTTTCGGTCGGTTCTGCTTTTGGGTGCTTATTTCCCTTTGGCTCAGTGGCTCGGCCCGGTCGGGGGTGCAGGTCTTAGTCTTAGATAGGGGTCGCGGCTTAGCAGGGGGGTGCACTGCTGAAGGTGGTCAGGGTGGCGGGGGACTGTCGGTGTTGGGGTGTGGTGCTTCATCTGGGTGCTTTCGTGCTGCTTTTCATTCACAGGGTTGGGCTTGCTTGTGCTTGTCTTCTGTTACTTGGTCGTCTTGCCTTGATCCATGTGGACGTGGAGGGGCTGGCGGCATTTGGTGGGGCGTCTTCACTGTGGGGCGCCCGCACTGGGTCACGAGCTTGGGGCGTGACGACTGTCGCAGCAGCTCGCGCGGGAGTGCCGGGCCTCGTTCGCATTCGAAGGGGCGGGGGGCTTGGTGGGGGCCGCGCCTGGGCTTGGGGGGTAGGGTTTGGGTGGCTGCTGACCCTTCTAAAGTGACGGGTGGAAATGTGTCGAAGTTTTTTTTTGTCTTTTTCGGGTTCGGAAAACATGTCGAAGTAAACGGTTAGAATTCGGCTCAAATTGGCGGCTTTTTTCTCCTGGTTTCGCCTAGGGGTCGCGCGCTTTTGTTTTTGGTGTCGGTTCAGGACCGACATGTCTTTCCAGTTTTGGAAGGACGTTTCGCCGACTTTTTTCGCCGTTCGCTCCCAAAGTTGGCGGGTTTTTAGAGACGAGCTTTAGACCTGTTCTTAGCCGTCAAGTCTAGACATATTTTTTAGCTGTCGCTTTTACTTAGGCTGATTTTTAACCGGCTCTCGCGGGGTCTTGGAAGCCTTCAGGCCGCGCAATCGCGGCGCAGGCTGGACCGCATTCGACGCACCCAGTCGCACTCCGTTGGCAGGCCTCGGAGTGCGGCGCGGTGCTCGTGCAAGCTCTGCGGGGTTGGCTGGGTGGGGCGCGTGTGGACGCTGAGCCCCCGCATCGAACAGCGCTTGCTCGAAGTGAGGCCGTAACGCCCACGCCAGTGAGGTTGCGCGGGCTGGGCAGCGTGGTCCTGGAGTGGACGTTGGGGCCGCAGTTCGTTCCTTGGTTACTCGAAGTGTGGCCTTTACGTCCACGCCGGTGCAGCCTCGCGGACTGGCGTGGTGTCGGCTCTTTGCGCCTGGCCTTTTTCTGACGTGTCTCGAAGGTTTGCCTGAGATCGGCCCCGGCGCGCGCATGTCACTTCGGCTTGGACTCCCTCGCGGGCGCCTGCTCGTGCATGTTGGTGGCGGCTCGGGTTTGGTGTGGTCTTTCGTGGGTCTTTTGCGTGGGTTCGGCTGCTGGCTCCCCGGCAATCAGATCAGCCGACGCAGGCGCGCGGCGGTGCTTGTCGGTCGGGGTTTTCTCAAATCCCGAAAGCTTTAGCCTAATTTTGGTCGGATTTGTTGGCTGGGTGTGTGCCCGCCTGAAAACAACACGCAACAAGAACCAGAAAGCCACAAATGGCCTTACTCATGATACTGCGCGCGTGCGTAGTCTGCTTCTGCTCGTTTTGTGCATGGCTAGGCACGTCATTGCAGTACGGTGAAAGCGTGCCTCTGTGCCAGGTCCGATGGCTGTGGCTTTGTGTCTGATTCACTTTGCTCTTAGCTTTTGCGAGAACAATGGGTCCTGCACCTGTTGCGGCTTTTCTCAAAATGTATGCGCAAGTTGACAAATGGCGCTAGGACTAGGACCAGGCCACAGTGCCAGCGGTTACAATACGACAACCCCTGCCAAATTGAGGTGAGCGGGAGAGAATATCACGAGACAGAGAGAGAGACAGAAGGAAGGCCCGGGGCGGAAGAAGTCCAGGCGTCACTGTGAGTAATATGTATCTGGGCAGCAAGGACTATCCTCTAGTTCTTTTCTTAGTAACTTACTTAGAGGGCCTAGGATCTTGATCTTCCACGCCTACAGCGAGGCCCTCTGAAATGGCATGTCTATGCGCTTCTTGACGTGCAACCGCAAACAGAGGCCCACGCGCATCCGCATCGACTGAGCATTATTTGATAAGTGTTCAACCTTGATGAACGAAGCCACAAAATATGTCTTCAAAATGCCAACGCACTGCCAGAGCTGCGCGCATCGTCAGCGGATCGCGACGCCGAGTCCATGTTTTTCCAAGTCAGGCGTGGCGTTATTGCCTCTTACGTAAACGACCCGAATGAACAGGATGCCGCTTTGTGGTCGGTAAGAAAGGTTATGGAAGTAGAGACTTAGACATCAACGTAGTGGCTTTCTTTATCTTTACCCCTGGGGTCGGTGCATTCATTCACGCGGGATCGTGAAGCGGATGAAGATGGTTTACAGATTAGATACCCGCTAAGAAGAGCAGAACGAGCGAGAGCAACTTCTTAGAACGAGTGGGAATATGTTGCCACTTCCCTTCTCTCTCAGTTCCGTGGTGCTTCGAAGTTAGGAGCTTAACCTCTTGCGTGAGTTAGCACCGTGACGAAACACTACGGCGCCTTTATGGCAGTCTGCGCAGTACTTTGTCTTTGTGCGGGATTTATATAATACTTACTGTATTGCACTGTAAAGCAGCTGCCCAGGCTCAAGCGATCCAGAGCCACACGTCACCTATCTGGATAACCGTCAACAACGTACCCGCAAAAGCTCAGAGAATAGAACACTTTTTACCGGGTAGAGTTCGTCAGCGTAAGTCGTTAGGCAGCTTGCCGAATAGATGCAGACCATCAGAAAGCCGACGAGCCAGCTATCTCAGCTACCTCTTGTATCTTGTACTTCTAGGATCAGCACCCGGACTCACTTCCAACTACCTCTACTTCTTGTTGGACTAACTTCTAGCATCGTCCTTCTTCGTTCAGGATCTCTCAGTGTTGACTGGCGACTTTCTAGAACATGTCCGAAGACGAGGGCGTGTCGCCATGGCTCTCCTCGTATGGTGGGACGGCAGAGGATTTGCATCAACTAGCGGGCAGACTAGACTTGAGGCTCCCCTACTATTATTTTTCCCTCTTACTATTAATATTTTGCCGCGCTGGAAGGGATAAACGGTGGGAGTTTGAGAAGCTTTGCCTGGGCTTTCCCTAATCCATTCGCATAGCGTAGAGCTCTACGATCACATAGCGTAGGCTGTTTCTCAAAGAACACCACTCCAAAGAGCTGGGGCACCAGAGTCGTAACTTGCTGGATGAGGATAGTCTTAAGGCTAGGATGGTCTTACGATGCGTGCCATAAGCATAAGCATAACACGTGGAGACCACGAAATGCCATGGGTGACTAAGAATGGGGACACTTCTACCATTGGGGACGAATGGCCAAGAGTTGACTTATGCGCAGAGTAGTCCGCTTTTCGCGCTACGGGCTGCGCGAGTTCTCTCGAGCTGCCACGAGTTGCCGAAACGCACAGGCCCAATCCGGGGCAAGTAAGTTGCTACCGAGTTCCCCTGGGCAGCTTGCCACTTTGTTCGAACGCGCAGCACTGCGCGGCGGTATGGCGGGCCAAGATGCCACGGAGTTCCGAAGAGAGTCGCGGCTTCCTTGTTGTCTCTTGGCAGGTCTTCCGTCTGTATTGAAGAGACACGCCCCAGCTGAGCTCTTCGGGGCTTGGGCTTCGCGAAAGTAACAGGGCGAAGCTCGGGGCCTTTTTGGTTTGAGTGGCGTGGGCCCGTGTCTTGTGAAGTGCAGCGCCTTCGCTGTTGTGTCGGTGTTTCTGCATGGCCGTGCGCTGGTGTCGGTCGCGATCTGGCTACGCTGGTCCACTCACTTTTCTTGCTGATGGGTGGCCAGCCTGTTCGACTTCTTGGGGCCCGAGATTCGGGAGTATATCCATGAGGGCGCCTGGCTTGTTTTTTGAACAGGGCCCCCGTCAGCAGCCAGCCTCACGACCTGGCGCCCATTTGTTTGCGCTGTAGTGGGCTCACGGGGTAGCGCGCCGCCTTGTGAGTAGCTAGCATCACAGGAAAGGCCCCTCCGGGTCGGTGCATCTGATTGGAGTGGCCTTATTCGTGTGTCTGTTTTATAGGGCAGCAGCTTTACCAGTTTAGTAGGCGCGCTAACTTAGTGCCACAGAACTACAATAGCAGGGGCCCCGGGTGGCGCTGCTCCTGTCTGCCCCGCGCATGCGGCGCCTTGCAGAGTGAAGGGTGACTCTGCTGGGGGCGTTCGCTTTTGGAGGTGGTTCGCGCTCTTGGGTAACGTATTTGACGCATCGAAGACAGCGCGCCCGAAGGGCGCGGCACCAATTTTTTTGGTATGGAGCTCGTTCAACTCGAGCAGCCCGAGCAACTCGGCCCGATGTCGGGCGAAGAGAGTCTATCTCTTTTATAGTAGCAGAACAGTTTATGACACGAATGGCGGTTGGCACGAATGACACGGTTGGAACAACCCTTGGAGCGGTTTACTCTGATGGCTAAAAATTCTAGAAAATTTAGGATTTTTTTTTTTTTTGGAAAAGTTGGCGGGGATTGGGTGTGGGTTTTGTTTAGCAAGTAGAAACCGGACGGGGCGGGAAGTGGGTGGGAAAGAGTTGGGAAAGCAAGTAGGAAAGAGGGGCTGGCGGGATTCTCATACTGCTTGAGTTGAAAGGGGTGGGCTTTGTTCGTCGTCGCGTTTTGTAACGGGTTGATTTGGGCTGCGGAGATTCTTCTGATAAGGGTAGAGGGATTGGAGTTCAGTGTGTGTTTTTCGGTCGTGTTTCATTTGAGCAAAGAGCTCACGTAGCTTGACGAGATGAACGCTCGAAATCGGTGCTGAGTTGAGTTTGCTGCGAGAAAGATCGAAGGATGGAAGTCAGCAGCCTGTTAGAGTGCTCCGAGCATGGGGGGGTATGTGGTAGGAAGCGGCGTGTCGAGGCATCAGGGTCGGACTTCGTTCGGAGCATCTTTTATGTTTTGGATTTGTTTTGTTTTTTTTACCTATATTGATTCCCTCGCTGTGTATGTGAAAAGTCCAGATTTGCAAGAACGGCGCAGCCGATCGCTTAAGCTGGTTTGAGCGAGACACTTGTGTGCGAAGGAACAGACTCGGTCTCGGTTATCTCACTTCATTGGGGGCCGCGCATCCTACACGCGGCGTCATCCTTCAGCGGTGGCATTTCACATCTTCACCTTCGCCTTCTCTTCGCCTCACTTTCACTCTCTCTTCACTTTCACTCTATCCTCACTCTCTCTTCACTTTCGCTTTCGCTTCGCCTTCATTTGTCCTCGCTTTCCCTTTCATTTTCTCTGTTTCACTCAAAAGGGATCCGAAATCTACTCTGGTGACTAACTACGTACAACTCCCATGGAAAAGCTGTGCACTGATAGTGCGTCTTGCGTCTACGCATGACAACAAGACGAGATGGCCCCAAAAAGGAAATGAAGCACGTTCATCGTGTTCAGTAGCACAAAAACAGTTCGCGCGAGCCCTTCGCTTGTTAACAAGTGTGACTTGTTAAATCATGACGTGCGTTGCCGTTCGTGTGGAAATTTCGTCACTCAGTCTATGGAACTGGGGCAAAGAAGTCACAATCTCCGGCAATGTTGTCAGCTGTTGCAGTCTCGCGAAGCATGCGCTCGAACGAGTTGCGTTCGGGTGCGAAAATAGCGACTGCATGAGCGAAGTCCCAAAGAACGTCCTCAATCGTCTGAGCTGCAAACTCTCCAAAGAATTAGAATCCAAAGGGATCAGAGTCGACGCCTTCACGTCGCGAGTAATCTTGCCAGAAGATACCACGCACATCTGTTGGAAGTTCCATTCAGTAGCAACTAAGAAGATCTTCGCAACGTCTCAGGAAGAACGCCGCGCAAATTTCGAAGAAAGTTTTGCAATCATACAAAGAAAGTAATCAACAAACTGAAGGCATGCCATCCAACAAGCGCCACAGTGTCCCTTTCGACAATCTAAACGTCGACTGTAACAAAGTCCACAAATCTTCCGCGACAAGTCGCGCCGACGCTCTCATCGCTCCGGAGTCCCCGAGTGTAATCATGCACAGATCCGACACCCCGACTGGGACTCCTTCTGAATTAGTTTCGAATCATGATGAAGACAACCCCTCTGAGATCGGGCCCCCGTCTCCCACGCCCCACCGGGTGGAAATACCGGCGTGCACACATCATTCTAACCACCTTAGAACGCACTAGCTTCGATCCCCAGCTAGCACTTTTTGAATGCAGTGCGCATTTTCACGATGACAACTCCGACAAAGAAGTAGCGGGATTCGTCAGGGTTTTCGCGTACACTTTTCATAACTTTGTGCTGGATCCAATCGAAGTAATCAATTCGCGCAGGCATTCAAAAACTCACCAAGCATCCACCCTCGAGATTCGTCGCGAAAAAGTCACAGATAAGTCAGTCGCCATCTTCTACGCTGACAACGTTCTCCAGATTGAGCCGCTCTCAACGTCTTGCAAAATGGCGCCAGCGTCTTGCTCAGTCATCCTCTACGTGACCTCGATAGAGGCACTCGATTGCGAAGGTGTACAGTTCTCGCGCATTGGGAAAGCCTATCGCGGTGGCGGTAGCGATGTTCACTACTTCAACACCACCGCCAACAAGAAACTTCGTGACGACAGAGACGTCTTGCGCGTCCTTTCAGATGAGGCCCGTCGCGCAAAAAACTGGCACCGTGCGGAGTTTGCACCGTCTTACGTCCCAGCTTCGATTCTCAACATGAAGCGCCGCGCCGCAGATCACATCAAGCACGCGCTGCGTCCCGACCTTCACGGCGACGACGAGTGAAATCGCGTCGACGCAATTGACGCCGCCACAACCATCTCGCCGCACATGAACACGAAGACGAGCACTCGCGACGAGGCTAAAAAAGTCGCGGCAGCAGAAGGCGGAATCAAACTAATGCGCGTCTGTGATCTCTGTCGCGTGATGATCGGTCACAGCTCGAGCTGCTGCGTCTGTACTTGCAGAGCGGAGAGCGCACACTGCAAGGTCACTATGATCGGCTTCAGTCCGGACGAGATGCAGGGAGACACTCACAGTCTCGCTTCTACTTCAAGTCAGAAGTGAATGACAGTCAGTGTAATACCACAGCAGCATCGAACTTCATGGCCTACCAAATTCAGACAAATTCTACCCAGTTCGACATACTCACACTCGCAGGGGCTCTCGAACGTAGCAGCCGCGAAGAAGGAAGATTGGAAATTTGGTGCAGTACGTAGGAGGATTCTCATCTGCAATCTTGAAACTCTACGGCAGCGTGGCCAACTCCTATCCTTCGATCGCTTCGCATCGAATGGGAAAGCTCAACTATCGGGAGTGAGTCTCCATCTACTGCGCCAGGTGCTCTTCTGGGCGGCAATGTGGCCAGAAATTGGAGTAGCAATCTCGACCATTCTTCACTACACCGAGCAGAAAGACTCCAATAACGCACTTCGTGTGATGGCCGCGCTCGCTCAATGCGTCGAGAACATGGCTCCGCTTTTGGCCTCAGAGGTAACTTACGCGCGTGCCAGTCTCATACTCTGGGGCGAACACGAAAAGCCTTCAAGTAATTCACAGTAGAGCTCACCAATAATAAATCATGCCAATCAGTCACAGGTAGTGGCGGGACTCTCCTACGGTATCAAGCTGCACACTCCGGCTAATAGCATGCTCATGCGATGGAACAACTAGCGCGGGCACCTGCCCAAGCCGTGTTTTATGGATGTTCGCTGGTCTCTGGGAGCCACAGCTCTTGCGCGCCGATCCATCCGGGATCATCCAGGAGCTCGCAACCCAATGCGCAACAGCGAAGCTCTTATCCTGCGTGATTTCGCTGACTTCGTCACCGACCTGCAGAACAATGGAGCGGAACTTTGCTCAGATGCCCACACTTTTTGTGGGAACAAATGCTCATCCACAGACTTTCAGAACTATCCTAAGTGTGTTGCTTTCGTCCTTTAATTCGAGAATAAGTGCGCGATTAGTGGGTTTCTGAGTATTCAGTAATACTCACGAATACTCAGTAATACTCAGTAATACTCAGTATTACTCAGTATTACTCAGTATTACTGAGTACTCAAAAATGGACCCAATAATGCCCCACTAATGCCGCGCTTATTCTCGGACTTAACTTTTATGGGAGTCTGATCAACCTCGCCACCTTATTGCTGCAACTAAAGTAATGGCCCAGATCACGCAGCTATATATTAAAGTAGACTAATCGCATCCAGTGAATATTCGCCCTGCTCACACACCTCCAAACCGCACGAACACAAACATGCTTAGAATATTTTCGCACCATTTGAATCGTTCGCTTCGCTCACTGTATGAGCGAAGCCCTGGCTTGCATCCAAATGCTGCTCTTGGCAAGGCCGTAGCTCCTCACTGTCTATTTCTTCCAGAGGTGTGGAAGACTCTAGCCGCATCACTGTGCCAACGTCTTGCTGGTCATGTTCTTTCTTGTGTGTTTCTATGTCGGCTATTTCTATGTATGTGGTTGCTACGTTGTTACGAGAGGTGAGCAGGAATTGGCGCGATCTGTAAATATAGCACTACACTCATCACATGCAAACTCATGGAGAAAGTAAAAATATGAGATGAGTGAGGAAATATTTTGAAAGAGATGGAGGAACCAAGCAAACACGCACTAGGCTGAAAAGTGAAATCTGTGACACGAGTGAAAAGTGATATGATGTCAGAGATGTAGGAAACAACTGAGCCAGAAGGAACTCACTCAGACCCCCCTCATCTCCTCCTCATCCACAGTTAGATCCACACACTTTGCTGACCATTGTAGACCTGCTTTGCCATTCTCGCGCAAAATTTTTGACAAAAGCAGTGCTTACCGCCTGAACAAGCGCCAGACTCTGATCAACAGCATGGTGCGGGTATTCACTGATCGGGGGCACTAGCATCAACTTGAACTAATAGAGTAGCAGTCATCCACAGCGGAGTGCACTGCTCGACCAGTAGTGGAGCACTAATCGCTCAGTAGTGGAGCATTTTTTGCCCACTGATGGAGCACTAATCGCCCAGTGATGGAGTACTAATCACACAGTGATGGAGCACTAATTATCGACCGACGGAGCACTAGTCATCCAATGTCCACCCACCCACCATAGAGCTGCAGCCGATCAAGACGCTACCTGTACCTGTACTTCCTCCATGATGGCTGGTCGCTCCATAACTATCTACAACTAGAAGACTTGTGGATAACCGATGGAGAGGCAACAGAAAACATGGACGCCGACGGCTTGTGCCTGGTAAAATGCCGACCGACTCCACATGAACACACGGCTGTCCTCAGATGCACGAATCAGCGTCACCATTAAGATTCTTTTCAAACTTGACAAGCATGACTAGAAAGAAAAGCCACACTTGTCATTACAATTTGTTCAAAAATATATGACAGATGTGACTAAGGGAAGAGGCCACAACTGTCCACTCAAAATCATGCATCGTGGTCCGTAGATTACACCACGAGACCACTTTCAAGAGTGTCATCAAGAAGGTCCGTAGATTACACCACGAGACCACTTTTCAATCCTGTGCAAGATCAAGGCAACTTGGTCAAGAGTGCAGATTTATCTCCCATGAAGAGTTATGCGTGTGCTGATAGTACTACTATCCATCACTCCAAGACTCTAGCCAAGGTAAAAAAAAACAAGTCTGCTCCCCATGAGATCACTGCAAAAAAAAACATTCTTTATGTGGTGAGTATCATCGTGTAGAAGTATGCATATACCATATGTATACTCAATATGCATCAAAAAAGACTGCTCTTCATGTGGTGCCCTCCTTGTTTCTTTGAAAATAGCGATGGAGGTATAAGCATGAATATGAATGAGATAAATTAATGATATAAGTCATGAAGTTTTTCTATATGATAAAAGTGAAAACTATTTATGAGCGGGCTTCTAGTGGTTATTACCATCTTACTTCTACTCCTCTGATAATCTCCCACACCTCCGCGAAGAAGCCCTGTGGGTTGAAGAACTAACGAAACGTCCGACAAAGCGAGCACAAGCAAACACTTTGGCGGACAATTATGGGTAGTGTCTCTGCATGTGCGACCGCGTCCTTTATGGGAGTACTTATGTGTCTGACTATGGCCTAGGTGAGGCAAATTTTTCTTAATCTAAAGGTAAAGACGCGGCATCTAGATTACGCTATCTTGAATCGAAGAACCTACAAGATGGTAATCAGTTTGACCTGAGACAAGCTACCAAGCATTATATAGATATTTATAGTCCCTGCCTCGTCCTACAAAATCTACCAGTAAATAACCTACCTACCAATCTCACTAGTCTGTCTATCCTCAGCCATCCTCTTATACAAAGCAGCTAGCCGCGACTCCTCCTCGCAAGGGGTTGGTCGGAGAGGCGTCATGAGCTGAAACCCCCAACCGTGCGCAGTGCGATGCTGTCTCCTGTGACCAGGAGGCGTCTGCACTGACGGGGGTGGAACCTTATCCGGAGTGCAGAACCGCTCTAACTGGTGCGGTCACGTATCTAAGTGCCCCTTATACTTGCCGTGACGTCGTAACCATGGAGAGTAATAACCTGACGGCTTTGGCTTAGGACCAATAAGCTTAGGCTTGGACCTAGATTTTCTACTGGTAGAACCAACGACACCCGCAGCCCTAGGTGAATTATAAGACATCCCCGCCCCCATCACACTAGATGAAGGCCCACAGTTATCCCTTTCGACTTCCTTTCTAAATGGAGCACTAGCCCGCCTCGGTAGAGTCTTCCGTTCTGTTCGTCTAATATTCTCACGCGGAGCAACTACGATAGGACTGCCATCGGAAGACGAAGACAGCATGACGATGCTACCTATGTGCTATGGCACAGTAATCATTAAGAAACACTAGATGAACCAAGAAGATTGCTAGACTTCACCCCATCAAAGTTCTAGTCTTTCACCTCAAAGAAGTGCATCCGAACCAAAAAACAAATTTAGTTCGTCGATGTCTCCTTCGTTATTCATCGGGTTCATGTTGTCGCTATCAACATCAAAAAACTCACCTAGGGGATCTTCATCAGAAAGCACCAGCGGAACGTCACCAGGTGGAGCAGCGGAACTCGACGACGATGATGGTCCAAAATTCTGCTGAAGGACGTCGAAGTTGGTCGTGTGGTTGGTGATGTTGTTGGTCACGTTGACTGACGTCTGTCGCTCGACAATCCGCGAATAGGGAACTGCCACGCGCTTATTCCAGTTTTGTCTGGCAGACGGTGGATTGGAGTAATCCTTTCAAATTATACAACGATCGACAACACAGGACAGGGAAAGGCGGTCCGCCTTGAACAGCAGAAAGACTCAATCGATAGAGTAATAGACTTTCCGTGATGTCCTCCTTTCGCATTTTATCTGTTGTCACCTTCCTCGTGTCTCTGTAGTGCCGTACGTCATCATCATCATAAAGTGATAATTTATCATCATTATCTTTTTATTTATTATCTTTACCTAACTATGAATGCCTGGCCTTCTCATCATCATTAGGCATCCACGACTGCACTGCTGACGCCTTTAATCGCGTACAGGGACGCGTGGCATGAAGATGAGCAACAGAGTATCTCTGGCGACTCCGAGCTGAAGCAAATCTATTCCATGCTCCGACAGCTCACAGTTATGGACTTCTACGCTTTTCCGTAAAGTTTAGCAGGGCCTAGGGTTAAGGTAGAGAAGAGCTTGAGCTTAGGGAGGACTTACCTTGCAGGTTTACGCCGGAGCTTACTGGTGCGCTTCTTCACGTCAGTAAGTACATTCCTTCTTCTAATCCTTAAAAGATTTTTACTGTCTTTTTCGTGCCGCGCATCAAGATCGACGTCTTTCCGCCGCCAGATAATGTCAACAACATCAAGCTGGCGCGACAATCTATCCTCCGACACAGACTCTACAAGTTTATCCCGATGCTTACCGCAGGCATCGGACCCCTTGTCGACTTAAGACCAATGACTATTCTCGTAATTATAGGAAGTGAGTAGTTGTTCTGGTTCATCACGCACATGAAAGAGTTAATTGATGTAACAGTGAGTCGCGAAGTATAAGCTTTCGTCTTTGTGCTTGATGCTTCTTCCCGCCGTCCTCTAACATTCGAGATGAGCAGCTACATCATTCGCCGCAAGCTGCAAAAGAAGAATGAAGAAGCCGAGGCTCTAAGCACTGGCGTCGGACAGCTACGCAAGGCTCTCAAGGATGAAACAGTCCGAGAAGTTTTGGGGAGTTGTTACATCTGTTATGTATTTAGGATGTTTTCTAGTATGAAAAGCGTCACTTAATCCATATATCCGCGGTGCAGCATGCTGGTCGATTTGTTCCATTCATGATCTTGCTTGGGCTCCGCATAATCTAACTACTTTTCACTGTTCTTGTGGTCGTCGTTTTGTCTCTAATAGCCTCCATTCCGATGATGATGATGATAATCGTAACCAGCAGGTCAACCGAGCAGGACGAGGCGCGGTCCGCAATGTAGCGGTCGTGGAAGATGAGTAGGCATTTTCTCCAGTACTTAAGAAAACAAAAAGAAAGAAGAGAAAGAAAAGAAGACTGAAACTATTACAGAAGATCTATCTTGAGTGAATTACTAAAAGATGAGAGGGCGTGGGATCTAACCACACAGACCAGAATAAAATAGAAGTGCCTACCCTTTAAAACTAAGCGCGCAGCGCGGTAAGTGATCCAATGCTCGTGATGATCTTGCTGCTTGAAATTATAACTCTCATACTCGTGCGATCTATTACAGTTTCAATATATGAGGGCGGTGAAGCAGCTAAATACTAACTGCATTGATGTGAAGACTTTTCTTGTTGTTGAATCTAAATCAGTAGAAGTAGAGTGTTAACCTCAATCACGAGCAAGGTCAAAAAATCACAACGATAGCAACACTTAACGTCGTCAGTTATTATGTCCGCACATTTCGGGCCTTCTGCTTTCAAGTATAGATGTGCACTCTCATGATAATCTGTACTAGAAGGAGGAGTGGTGACGCGAGTACTCTGGATTTAGTGATTAAGCAATCAGATAAGTAGGTAGGAAGGTTAACCGTCTCCCCTTGTTCTCAAATTGATAAAGTTAAAGGTGTGGAATTCAAAAAACGACAGTAGACTTTTTCTTACCCACTGTTTTGAGTAGTCTTGTATATTGGCAATGATGTTGCGGACTCACCCTTTGACTTTTTCTGCCTCTCAAATGTTCCCTCTTCTTCCTCGAGTTCATCATGAAAAATTTTAGACAACTTCAGTCGTTCCCTCCAACGACATGAATTCAACAACTACTCGAAGGCCTCTTCCTCTTATGATTCGCAAATCTTCAATTCTCAGACTTCTGCTCTGTGTACGATCCGCACGACGAAATCGAGAATGGAAAAAAAAATGGGTGTTCATGCGTGGTTTTATCACGAACACAAGCGAGCAGGTGCGAAGTTGCTGAGGATTTTACTAAGCGAAGTAATTTCAGTACGTGTGTGAGACTTCCTCTACTGTTGAGGGACGACGAATTTTTGAGAAAGAATTGCTCTGGTGCGTTTGAGTTTATGCTTCTTTGTGGTGAGAGCGTGGCTATTTCATATAACAAGACCAGAGACGTAAGGTCAACAAAATTATGGCCACTGTTTTATCACGAATCTCAACCAGACTAAATCTCAGTGAGTGAAATGATTACTACGCCCGACGTTGCTTATAATAATCACCAATGAAGGATTTCCAATGATGGGCGTCGCCTATAATTTAGCTTTTTCGTTTATTACGAATATTCTTGTGCGCTGGCTTTCTTCAAGTCACCACTTCACTGACCACGGCTCTGAAAATCTCGACTCTTTTCTCTTCAAAAGTTTGATTGTAATGCGTTCTGAAATTATGATGGTAAAGCATGTATGACCCTACTCCAAATTATAAGAACAAAATAAAGCATTTTATTTCTGATCTTCATCCTTTTCGTGGAGAATGTTCGCCCCGACGATGAGACAACAAATACGAATGACGGATCATCATCATAGCGAAAAGCAAAATATAATATTAAGAGCAATACAACTTTGCAAACACATCCCTTCGGAAACCTCAACCTCCAACACCCAAACCCAAAACCTCCAACACCCAAACCCAAAACACCCAAACCCAAAACCTCCAACACAAAAACAAACAAACCCCAAACCCATGAACCCACGAAACCATGAACCCACGAAACCATGAAACCATGAAACCATGAAACCACGAAACCAAGAAACCATGAAACCATGAAACCACGAAACCATGAAACCATGAAACCATGAAACCGTGAGACCATGAAACCATGAAACCATGAAACCACGAAACCACGAAACCAGGAAACCATGAAACCACGAAACCATGAAACCAGGAAACCACGAAACCATGAAACCACGAAACCACGAAACCATGAAACCACGAAGCCACGGGATTGAATTTCGGGGGAAAGGGCTTAAAGTCAAAAACTTTAGGATCTTAGCGCTTCAATTCAAACCCACGAGCCTCAACCTCAAAACGACGACAAAACGTGGAAAATTTTCGAAATTTGAAAACGCGAATCCAAGGAATTAAATCTCAGGGAAAGGGCTTAAAGTCAAAAGCTTTGGGATCTTAGCCCTTCAAAGTCAAGGGGTCCTGTCTCAAAACGGCGAAAAAATGTGGAAAATTTTCGAAATTTGAAAAACGCGAAGCCAAGGCATTAAATTTCAGAGAAAGGGCATAAAATCAAAAATTTTGGGATCTTAGCACTTCAAACTCACGGGATTCACTCCCANTAAAATCAAAAATTTTGGGATCTTAGCTTTTCAAAGTCAAAGGGCTCTGCCTCAAAATGACGAAAAAGGTGGAAAACTTTCGAAATTTGAAAAACGCGGAGCCAAGGCATTAAATTCCAGAGAAAGGGCACAAAATCAAAAATTTTGGGATCTTAGCGCTTCAAACTCACGGGATTCACTCCCGAAACGGCCAAAAACGTGGAAAATTATCGAAATTGGAAAAACGCGAAGCCAAGAGATTGAATCTCAGGGAAAGGGCTTAAAATCAAAAATTTTGGGATCTCCACGCTTCAAACTCGCGAGACTTAATCCCAAAACGACGAAAAAACGTGGAAAATTTTCGAAATTAGAAAAACGCGAATCCAAGGAATTAAATTTCAGGGAAAGGGCTTAAAATCAAAAATTTTGGGACTTTAGCACTTCAAACGCACAGAATTCAACCCCAAAACGGCGACAAAATGTGGAAAATTTTCGAAATTTGAAAAATGCAAAGCCAAGAAACTGAATCGCAGGGAAAGGGCTGAAAGTCAAAAGCTTTGGGGCTTTAGCGCTTCAAACGCACAAAATTCAATCCCAAAACGACCATAAAACGCGGAGAATTTTCGAAATTTGAAGAATGCAAATCCAAGAAGTTGAATCTCAGCGGAACGGCTTAAAGTCGAAAAGCTTTGGGACCTTAGCCCTTGACTTCAAACGCACGAGATCCAACCCTCAAACGATGGCAAAACGTGGAAAATTTTCGAAATTTGAAAACGCGCACCGCTTACATCTTTGCCTTGCTTAGTTTCTTACTTTGGGGAGGAGGGGGATCCTAGTGGGAGGGATGTTATCGGACGCTCCAAGCTAGTATAAACACTTCAGACGACAAATGCTGCGTGCTTACGTCTGACAGGTGGCGTTTTATATGAAAAAGCGCTAGCTTACACTACGGAAGGAGTTCTCAACTGTGAGCGAAAAGCTTTCTTTTTATTGTTGATTATCTTGATATTGTGACGGTAATCACGTCAAGTGCTGTTTTATAACTACAGGATGACCCCAGCTCCTGAAGGTCTCACACCCTTAAAATGTCTGGGATTTTGCGTGTCCTGCCGGCCAAGTCGTAGCGAGAGTGTCAGTTCAAGACTTGCTGAGCTCTACAGTTTTCTTCTGCCCGTGATCCTGTGAAAGTCTGTTCTTATGAGAATAAGTTCAAAAGTTCATAAGTCCATGAGCTTGTTCTGTTAAACTTCGGGCTTCATGTTTTCGGTGGTAAAACCAGGCGAAGATCAAAATGCGTCTTCCTGTAGACTGGTCATGTCAATTGCTGAGTCTCTGACTGAGGTTTTCCCTCCATCACCTCCCGCTATTTCTTCATTTTTAGTTGATGGTATTGAATAGTTGACCTCATGAATCTGGTTTGGTACTTTAGGAGTTTTTTCTTTACATGCTTTTACATGTTTTAGCTCAAGCTTTTAGATAATCACTCTTGCTCGTATTTCACAGTTTTAGTTGAAGCTTTTCAATATCTAGATTTATACCTAAGTCCCTACTTCGGTCGAAATTCTGGACAAAATCTGGCGAAATTTGGCTGGAGGGTTGGAAGGTGGTTGGTTGTTTCTAACTGCCATAAGAGGGAAGGCCCGTCTCTGTAGTTGGTGTCGCCCATCGTCGTTTAAGGCCTGCGATTGTTCTGCAACTCCTTTAGTACTTTCTTCGCATTGGGTTTTTTAGTAGAAGCACTACGGCGCCTTATTTGGCGTTGGTTTTCTAGAGTCTAGCTCTAGGTGTAGGCGTAGTCCTCCTTCTACTTCTAGTTGTAGAAGTAGTTCTTCTGTTGGGGATAAACTAGGCTACTTAAACGCACAAGGCACCAAAGCGGTCACCGCAGTTATTCTATTGTAGGCAGGCTCCCGCACCCGCGCCCGCCTTTGACTTTGTCCCAGTCCCACGACAAAGCTGAAGCCTGTATATGCCAAGGTGTAGATGTGTATGTGCCTGCGCCTGCACCTGCACGCGCACACTCGTACTCGTTGCGTTCTCTCTCACTTCTTCGCGTAGCACTAGCATGAGCTAGCTGCGCCTATACATAGTCGTAGATCTTGGCGATGACAGTTGTAATCTGTATAGCGTTCGCAAAACTAAGAGCGACTGACGTGATTTGATGAAGTGAGTGGTTTGCGCAAGTTTAAGTTAACTATGGCGCCATAATCTGAATGATTAGAATGCCTAGAAAGTTTGGCAGTTATTTTTGGTTTTTCATTCTAAATGCACACACATATGGTCAGACGTAGAATGAGCATCCCTTCAGTTTATGTGCGCTGCATAACCAGCACCAGAGTCGAAGGAGCTTAGAGGAGCACTGGCCATGGCGAGTGCTAGTGGGTAGTATCCACACCCACTACGGGCGCATAAGCTCAGACAGGGGGGGTGCCAGATACTACCCGAGACTTTTCGGGAGGGTCGCGTAGCGATAGAGATAGACATAGAGATAGACATAGAGTTACAAGTTGCTATAAGCATACGCATACCGTACGCAGTCATCCATAACAATAGGCGGCAGAAATAGAAAAAGAAACTGCATAGGAGTCGCCATCATCATCATCATCATCATCATCATCATCATCATCGTAATGCATATTCTGAAATAGCCACTACTGTTGCGCTTTAGCTTCGCACTCACATTCACCTTCACAAAGGATATTGATTGATATAAGCACTCACTGACGATTATGATTATCTATATGTATATATATTAACTCCCCAAGTCATTATCGCGAGGTACGCCCCGGGCAGGAGGCAGAGAGAGACCACGAGCGCGCGGGGGAACGGTGGCGCAAGCGCTACCGGGCTCCCCGGTGGTGTGTCGCTGCTTGGTAGTACTCTCGGACACCAAGCAACGACACACAAAGAAAAAGAGAAGAGCCGCCGAAAGTGTTCGACGGTGTTCGGCTCGTGCGCGAATGTATGAAAGCGCCAGGAAGTAAGAACAAGAGAGAAAAAAGCAATCTGTTGAGAAGGTAGATAAGCCATCTGTTGAGACAGTCAAGCGACGAAAAAAAAAAAAAACAAGACGAGGAACGAGGGGCAAGGCAATCTGTGGAGTGTAGCGGAGAGCGTTCATCTGTAGGCTGAGGCCAGTAGGCTAGGCGAGAAAGGTGAGACAAACAAGAGCAAGCAGGAGCAAGAGAAAGACAGAGAAAGAGGAAGGGGGGCCATCTGTTGAGGCGTCAGCACTCTGGTGAGACAGTGGAAAAAAGTGAGAACGAGGAAGAAGACGAGGAGAAGAAAGGGAGGACGAAGGCGCCGCAAGGGTTGCGACCTTGTGAGGCGTCTGGTCTTGCCGGTTAAATATGTACTGGGCATCTCGTTCAAAACGGCCCGCAGGACTACCCAAACGCCCCGCGGGTGTGTCGTCACGCGGGGGCGCCCAGTGTCTCACACTTCTCGGCGGTTCTGTCTTCCCTGGTTCGTTTCGGGTGTGCGTTGCTCAGAATTTAACCCGGAGCACTATCCAAACGCCCGACGGGTTTACCGTGGCGCGGGTGCTTTTAGTTTTTCACTTTTCGCGGCTGTTGCCGGGGTGTTGGTGTTCGGGTCGGGGGTGCCTGGGTGTACCCCGACGAGAATGGCCAAACATGGGCGCCACTGGACCCGCGCCGGCTGTGATTATAGCCGGGGCGGGTGTCTGTAGTTCCTAGCCTTGGGGAATTGGGTGCCGAGCAGTACCCAAAGGCCTGGCGGGTTTACCGTCGCGCGGGTGCCTCTGGGTCTTCCACGCCTCTCGGCTGTCGCGTATTTGCTCGGCTGTTGTCTCCTTTGTTGTATGTGGTTCAGAACTTGACCCGGAGCACTATCCAAACGCCCGACGGGTTTACCGTCGCGCGGGTGTGTCTGGTTTTTTCCGTTTCTGAGCATTTTGGTAGTGGTGCAAAAAATCACGAAAATGATCGCGATCAAGATCGGCGCACGCGCCACAGAGATCCACAAAGAGAAGCCCCCCGCAAAGGACAGAGACCAAAAAAAAAAAACGGTGCGCGCTGTTCAGAACTTGACCCGGAGCACTATCCAAACGCCCGACGGGTCTACCGTCGCGCGGGTGTCTCTGGTTTCTCACATTTTTGGGCACTCTGATGGTGGTGCAAAGAAATCAGCAAAATG